ATGCTCCTGCAGTGACACCAGCCAACTCGGCAAGCTTGGCATGGACACATCCCAGCCAGCACCAAAGAGGCCACTCTGCTTTTTAATAAAGTCTGGAAAAGCACCAGGAAGCTGATCACTGCCGGGGAAGATGACTGCACTTCTCGTGGCAGAGTGAGCCAGCCTCCCTGGGCTCGCACAAAGCTCTTGGGATGTCATCTAGGATCACCAGGAGGGAAAAGAGAACAGCCCTGACAGGGCTCTCTGTCACATCATCATCATCAACACTCTCCATAAAACAGCAAGGATGCATTCAGTGATTTAGGAGACTGGCATGTTCAATATTGATCATCCGTGTCAGAGTTTGTTCCTCTACATTTTGACCTTCTAAGTGCCCCAAGAAGGCATCATTCTTTTGAGCACTAAACTAACATGGTTGTCACTGTGTACTTTGGTGACACAGAAGCTGAGGAAAGTGGCATTCGGCAAAGAAAGTTTTAAGAAACAAAGTATGGGAGCATATTATCTTACACTAAAATGTTACATATTAGCCTTTTGATGTTTATCCCCCTTCTTAGCAAAGAAAAGTCATGTCTGCCCAGAGTTTAACACTGGGATTTTCAAAGAAAACCACGGGAAGGAGCAAATATTACTCTAATTAAATAGGAATCGAACCCTTAACGCCCCACTTTGAAAATTCCTGCCTAAAGCCCTGCAGAAAAAGTAACCCTTGTGCTAGTGTTTAAGAGCATATGACCAAGCTAACAGCTATTTTAATTAAAAAGCACAGCCCTGCTGCCTGAAGAGCTTTTCTACTCAAGACAAACATTTACTGCTTAAGCTAGCTCCCAGCGCTGGGGTTCTTTGGTGGAGTCAGCTGTTAGCACACTGTGCTTCCCTTAGAGACAAAGGTCGCCTAGATTTTAAAATATACAGTTCACTGGAGCCCTCTTTTCAGGGGAAAACAAAGCCTAAATAAATACAACTGCCATGGGAGTCTCGCCTTCCCAGCCACAGGGGTAGAAATAATGAAAGGGAGCGAGCAGGCCAGGCCTGCAGCTGAAATACCATCATGTAGGGCTTCCAAATCCCACCTGAGAGTGGGCACAGCATCCCAAAAACCCACAGCCTCATCCCACAGCTCCTGATGCAGCAAAACGTGCCAAGTTTATTCCATGGAGGGCACAAATCTTTATCTCTGCTCCTGAAAAGTGATTTGGGCCAAAGACAGGTCCATGAGACACTGCAGAGTTCCCAGGGGAGCAGGAGTTTTTCTCAGACATGCAAGAAAAACATAAGAATTGACAGCATTTAATATTTAATATTAATCACTCAGGCACCCAAATTCTCATTCTTTAGGGTCTCGTTCTTGACCCAAAGCTGCATAGGTTATATCAACACAATCAACAGGTGGCCTTTTAAACCAAGCTTTGTTTCTTTAGATGAATTGTAGCTAGAATTAGATAGCCTCTAAATTCTCAGCTGGTTTTCCCCATGTGTGTGGAAGGAGACCACAATCTTCCATATGATTTTCAGCCCTGGACTGCCAGCCCTTCTCTCTGCATCCACTCGCTGTGAGACTGCTCTGTGAATTTTAATTCATAATCCCAAAAAATAAAAAAAAAAAAGCAAGAAAGGGGAAAGAAAAAAAAGGCAGCTGGACAGGATTTTTTATTAGATTAATGAGTTAAAGTGGCTCACTCCAACAAATCCCAGAGCCAGCTCAAGGGAGAGGGAAGAGTGTCTGTGAGCAGGGAGAGAAGGTAAGGACTTTCCCCCTCAGGCCACCATGAGGCTGAGGAACAGCAGCATAAAACAGTCTTCACATGGCACTTTTTCCTGACATTAGCCAGGGTTTTTGGCTAACTTTGACTCAAATCACATTTACACCAAATTCTCCGTGCCTGTCATGCACAGAGGAACAGACTTAAAGCACCCAGGACTGTTTCCAAGGAAAGGTGGAGCTTTACACCTGCACCACTGTGCTTTGAAAGGAGCCAACAAACACTGGTGCTGACAATTAAAATGTTATCCTGAGACAAGATAAAGCCATCTTTAAACAAACCAAAAAGCAGTTAACAGCAACAGGAAAAGATCTGAGGCAGCTTCAGCCAAACACACCCGAGCCCGCCTTGCCAGCTACGAATTTATGAGATCGATAATCACTGTAACCATGTGAAATACGAGAACTTTGAAGGTGACAAAAACACTGGTGACAGCAGGAATTTCACATCATTGTTTTTGAAAAGCAAGATTTTTATCTTTCTGAAAAAAACAGCAAAATGAGAAGGAGAAGGCAGGCAGGCACTTCAACAGAAAAGGAGCAGAGAGCTCTGTTTGAGGAGTAGGAAATAAGACTGAAGGCAAACAGCATCACAAAAGGTAGGAGCAAGCAGGAAAAAAGAGGCATTTTTTTTTGTTAAAAAAAATGCATAGTTATGTAGCCCAGCCTACCACCTGTCAGGGAATTACAAGAGGCAGATGGCTACCAAAAGGAACTAGGACAGATTCTGTTTCAGTAAAGGTTGCTTCAATAATACTTCACACAAAACTTGTTTTGATCCAGATGCAGTACAGCTTCTTGGCTTTTTCTAGCAAGGAATGGGACTGGCTTCACTGTGCCATGAAGCACAAACTATATTAACAAACATGAGAGAGCATCACCCACAGCACAAAGATTAAATAAAAACTAAAACAAAACAAATTCAATCTTCCCCAGGAATAGCTGACAAGAGTTTGAAAGCAGAGACTGTTACAAAGGCAGCACATCTACACTGTCAGGTATTTTTAGAAATTTTAACATCCTTTCATTTTTGGCTGATGTTTCCTTACAGATATGGGTATTTGGGCTTTTTTTTTTATCTTTTTTTAAGCAGTACACAATGTCCTCTAACCTCATGAATTCCTTGGAAGCTTTTGTTTTCCTGAAGTGTTCATTCTCACAGTTGAGCTATAACATTTATCAGGACAGACTCTAAAAGAGTTGCCTGCTCAGCTCTCCCCTCTTCACTTGCCTTAGAGATGATTTAAAATGTTAGAAAACCCCTTTGAGTAAAGGATAGACCTGCACATATACATTTTCTTATTGCTGAATAACTTATGTTTTATTGTTTACTCCTGCCAGCACCAACTGCACTTGAACCTTGAAAAAACATCATTTTTCTCTCTTCTCTCTTCACTATTGCAGAAGTCCTCTATCCATCCTCCCTGTTTTGTGCCCTGTCTCAGTGTCTCCTCTTATCTCCAAGCTGGATATGTATTTGTTTTCCTCACCTCCTTGGTCTCTAATTGAAGGTGAAGGAAAGGGATTGAAGTCCATTCAGAAAAAGAAAAGCTTCTTTCACAAAAATGCTACTGAGATGACAGAGAGGAGTCATAGAAACTTGGACACCTGAGTTCCATAAAGGTTCTAACCTTCATTGTTCAAACAGCCAAGCTGCTGCTTCCTAAATTGTGAGATTATTTTTATTTCCATGCTGACCTAAGCCTGGAAAGACAAGGGCCTTGAGAAGCCATCACCTGAAACCACTGCATTAAACTGTGTTAGAGAGCCACGGGAACCTAAAGCCTGGGGAGCTCCTCTCTCTTTCCAGGGGTTCCCTGGAAGGGATCCTTCACACCCATGGGGTTTTCTGGGAACACCATCCACACAGGATAAAGATGGCACAAGAAAGGCCACAGCACTGTCTCGCTTTTCCCAGCGCTACTCAGAGCCCAGAAGAGGTTCAGAGAGGGAACCACCACAACTTCACTGCAGCTGGGGAGACAATCTACCACAAAACCAACCAGAATCACAGCCTATTGCCTGTGCCTGAGAGTGTGTGTGCAACCCTCCTCCAGGTGAGTTGCAGCAGTCAGCCTCATCTGACATCCACCTAAACCCTGTAAGCCAAGCTCAATTTATGATGCCACAATAATCCCTTGCAGATTGTATGCTCACAATCATTAGATCCTCTGTGCTTGGGAGTAAGACAGATTAATTTGCTACTGGCAGACGCCAGAAATCATGACAAGGGTTATAATTTCTGTGGCATGGAGCAGGACTATAGGGGTCACTAAGGGTTTGTTGTCTCCCCACCCAAGCTCTCATGTTTTCCTTTACAGGTTTCACTTTGTGCAGGCTTTCAGGACGTGGAGAAGCAGTAGAGAAGCAAGGACACTTGCTCATTGAGGGGAGGACTCATTTTCTCCTATTTACACATAATTTCAGAGAGCTTTGCAAGCTGTGCTGCACTTCACTCTAATGTGGTTTTAACTTCATTTAAGAATACATAATTCTTTTAAGTTAATGAGAGTTCTTAACTGGAAGCCTCCTTTGCAGTTAATGACAAACTGTTTACAACTAGAATAAATGTGCTCTGAGGAAAAAAAGCATTTTAAAAATTGGGTTTAGGTCTCTTTTTTTCCCCTATGATTTTCAAATAAGGGCAAAACCATACTCAGCTGAAAAAGTGTGCCAGCTAAGAAAGACTAGTATGACTCAAAAAAACTCACCCCATAACCGGAGGTGTTTGTTTATTTTTGAGGTACGGAGACATTTTGCAACTAAATATGACACTGAGTTTCCTGTAAGCTGCTTCCTTATATTGTGCATAACACTTTCTTGAAATTCATGCTTTTTTTTTCCCCTTCAGACTCAGAGCAAAACCAGACTCATTTATGAAGCAAAAGTAGCTTTGCTAGTCAGAGAACCCTAGATAAAAATAAGCCAGGCAGCAAAACAACAGCAGCAAAAACCATACATACACTTCTCTTCCCTCCTTTTCCCCCCACCTTTCAGATTTGCCCTGTTTCTCAGCAGCATTGCTATAACCAGCATGATATTAGCCCATTTTAGAAATACCCCAAGCTGTAACAGCAAAGCCACGTTTTGCTGCTTTTGGAAAACGTTTACAAAGCACATCCACGCGACTCGCGGGGAAATCGTGGCGGTGGCTTTGATGCCAACAGCTTTTCCTCTAAGGGTTGCTCTGGGATGTGCCCCTGAGTGCAGCCACGGGGTCAGCTGTCCCAGGACATACCTGTCCACTGGGGTGGGCAGCGGCAGTTGTAGGTGTTCACTCCATCCACACAAACGCCCCCGTTCAGGCACTTGTGGTTCGGGCAGTCGTCCACATTGTGTCCACAGACGCTTCCCTCGAAACCTGGAAAAAGCACAGACAACAGCAGGCTGAAACGGGCTGCCAACCCCTTTGGAAGAGAATTCACCCCTCACACAGCTTCCCCTCCTTTTTCTTTATTTTTTTCCTTAAATATTTTCCCCGTTCACCTAATCCTGATGAATCCCCACCTAGCACGGCTCTGTTGAACGCCTTTGCTAATAGCATGCGGGTCAGGTGACACAGCTAAAACACTTCCACCACGGGTGGATGGCAAATTCTGTTTTCACAACCCAAAAGACATGAGGAGTTCCTCTTTAAGTGACTAAGGAGCACTGTCATTCAAAGCAAACAAAGTGAAGACCAAGACATTTCGCTCACCATGAGATAAACTTGTCGCTGCCCACCAAGCATCAGCCAGGACAAGTTTTTCCCATGGCAAAAAAAAAAGTGCTGGCGTTCACTTCATGGATACCTCAGCACAGCCTGCCTTGGATACGTCAAAGAAAAGTCTTTTATGCTTTGAAAAGGAGCTTCTGAAGTCCTGATTTGGCTCTCTTCAGTGTCAGACAATCAGTCCATCAATAAATCAGCCACCACCCAAGCGATGCTTACACACTGAGCCCTGTCTGAAAAGCAGAAGAAATCAGATACCCTTCCCCAATGAAAATCCAGGCTCCTAATGAACACACTCAACAAAATATTCCTGCTAGAGCTCCCTCTCCTTTTCAAAGAAGGAGAAGTGGGGACATTAGGGAAGGGAGCTGTCAGTGATGTGTCTTCCCCTTGATTTCCCCTGCTGATTTATTTCATGCTTCATTAAATAAACCTGCCATTTGTGTTGGATGAGAGAGCTATTTATCAAAGCACAAGTGGAATGCATGCTAATGTGGATGAAGTAAATGATTCCAGAACACACATGTTAATTTAAAACACCAGCTCTGCCTCTTCACTGCTTTGGAATGTAATATTAACATGACACAGTTCTCTCATCCAAAATCATGCTTTAACCCCTCTACTTTTGATGCCCCGTTCCAGACACTTCCATAACATCTGTGTCAAGTCACACAGCCCCTCTAAGTAACATCTGGTCCACCACAGATCGTGCTGTGTGGCAGATGAGGCTATAAAGCCCTGAGCCAGCTTCTCCAGACTACTGCTGCTCTCCAGAGACTGGAGGTGATTCATGTGCATTCCCATCTCTTGAACTTCCCCAGCTCTACAGAAGAGCTGGGAAGTGCCAAGCTGCATCAAGTGCATCTGCAAGGAACAACAGACTCAACGTTGCCAAAAAACAACCAACAAAACAACCAAACCCAAACTACAAGACCTTCGATATGATTCTCTCCCTTCCAATCTCCACCCAAGATCCTAGAAAGATCTCATGGCAGTAGGGAAGCTTAAAACAAAGAGGAAATAGAACATGCTTAGCCAGAGTCCTTAATCATTACAGCAGCACCTTCCTGGCAAAAAGGAACAACTACCAGGGAAAACAATTAGCTTTAGTGTTTAGCTTTAGTGTTTAAAACTGTATAAAGCTACCAAGCTTGAGGAAAGGCTCAGCTGTAAAACACAAGGGTGTCCTATCAGTTTGTGTTTCAGCTTGGGAGGAATCATCCCACTGACCACACATTGCACTCATGCCCACACGTGATCAGCGTGGAAATGCACCCACAACCACAAAGACAAAAGGTTTAAGTTCTTATCTCTTCAGTTTGGATAATACAAAGACCAGCCCTACTTTCTAGTAAACAAATTTCTGACAGCAGGCATTTAAACTCTCTCAAAGCACTTCACACAAATTTAAAGTGTTATTAAAAATTATTATTTCCAGAATAAAGCACGGAAATCACCCCACTACTAAAACCTCACCAAGCTGTTCTGTATTTTCACATTTTAACCAGTTACATCAGCAAAGAGCTGCTCTGAGATACGTGAGCTTTTCTCTAGCTGGGGTCCCAGGATCTAATTCTGCAGTTATATAACCTGACTCTCTTCCAGAAAGCCACAGAGCTCGCTGTTGTGATGTATTTGGACACCTGACACTGCTTCCTGCTCCCCCCTGTGCTGGGACTCACATGTTGTCCTGTGTTTTCTCCCTGCACGAGAGCACTCTGCAATCCACATCCTGACTTTTGCTCCGTATCTCAAAGCACATCAAACTGAGGAATGAGAACCTCAAGGGGAAAAGTGTTCCCACTGCTAACAGCATGTTGTTCCTCCCCTAGTGAAACACAGACTGACACAAGCAGATAACTTTATTCTTATGTCATCTGACATCTCCACCCCGTTGCAGAGCATCAGATCCAATTCCCTCCAAATCTCAGTCCTTCAGCCTTGTTTCAACCTATAAATGACACCCCAGACTTTCTAGGCCGGTTTCAGGGCCAGTTAGCAGCGGGAACAGATATTCAGGAAATTATGCCTGAAAAATGCCATATTATCTCCAGACTTTGGGCCTGCTGGCAGGAAATCAGAGATGGCAGAGAGCAAAAACTAAGCTGGGCTACCCAAGCTGGCATCTGGGCTGGAGCAGAGGGGCACCCACCTCACCTGGGAGCCCAAGGCTGCAGCCAAGGAGAACCTCAGAGCTCAGGTGCTCGTCCCCACCGCTGGCTGGGCGTGAGGTTACTTCTTCCTCTTCCCAGGAAGTGCTCCAGCTCTCATAAACAGCCAGCTCCAGCCTGACAGATCGTTTCCTGAACAAGCCCTTGGAATTCCCTAGGGTCCTTATCTTAGTTAATGGGTAATTATTTTGATGGATAACAATGAATAATCACTTTCCCAGCTAAGAACTTCCTCTATTGACTTGTTTAACATTCCATGAAAGGTTAGTTGCCAAATGAAGTCCTTTTTTGTCAAATATTTATGACTACGAGCTCATTCTTATATTCAAAGGAGTTGCTAATGCTTCAGGTTATGTCTCCTTCAAGGAAAATCTCTTTTTTTTGCTACTATACTGTTATGATTGACCTAACATGCCCACTTGTCTACAATCCTGACAAACAAAGCCCAGAGGAAAAATGATTAAGACAGATGGATAAAAAATGAGGTTACCTTTCAGATAGATGCAATACCCATAATGTGTGTGTTTATATATATATAACTTCACTTGATGCTTGCCACCAATTGCTGACTTAACACACATGACTTTGTGGATTACCTAATGCAGGATTTGTTTGTGTACATCCACAAGTGACATGGGAACCTGGGAATTTTAAATAGCAGCTGGATTACACCGTACATAAACAGCACTCGTGTGACAGTAGGAAAAGCTGCTGTGACACACAACTCCAGGTTCTGGGTTTTTCCTACTTTGTCAAGCTCTCATTCTCACCCATCTGTATTTACAAATAGATTAAACTCACTGAAAAGCTAAGAAGGAAACAAGAACTCATTTCCAGGCCAGTGCACTAGTAGCCTAATTATGCTGCTTGGGCACAGTTTCTTCAAAGCACTTTTACAGGTCACAAGACGCTAAATCCTATCAAAAACCACTCCAGCATTTTGAGATGTAGCTGCCTCTGTGGCCACAGCACTCAGCAGTGGCAGCATCTTCAGGCAGTCCAGAAGGGCCAGAGCAATTCCATTTATAGTCACAGCACCATCGGCATTGCTCCAGTTCAGAGAGGGAGTCTGAAGTGGAATTTCTCATCCATAATCTTGGCACTGTCTTCCAGAGGAGCAAGCCTTGTTCACATCCTCCCTAGGCGTGACAGGCCACCATTTCTCTTCTCTTTCTGTTGACCTTTCCTTCCCAGACAGAACCTTTTCCAACACTTCAGAAATTTTGCTCTGCATGCTCTGCACTAAGTGGAGAAAGAAATGGCTGGGTGCCCTGCCTTTATCAGAGAGTTCAGTGGAAGCATTTGGGCCTCTCCAACAGCTCCCTTTTTTTGCTGTTTTTCAAATGACTGCTTTTAAAAATCAAGCTAGCAAAACAGCATGGCCAACTTAAACAAATACAGGAAATAGAAAAGTAAAGGCTCTCAGAGCCACATGAACTCACCCCCACTACACACACTGTGTAACAAGTCAAAAAAGACAGCTAATAATCCAAAACGTGTGAGGAGTGTAGGTGTGTAACTGTTACTATAGAAATCTCATTTCCATTTCCTGACCATATTTCAGCCAGCCCACACAGTTGTCTAAGGGAAAATCTGCTCCTACTCAGTCTCGTGCCCCTGTAAGAGAATCACTGAAGCAAACTGTCTCATCAGCTTGACAGGATCAAGTCCTTCCAGCTTCATCTTTCTCTCTTCTTCCTCCCACCACGCTGCTCCTGCACGAGGCCTGAAAGCCCTTGAACTGGCTAAACAGATCTGACTTTTAAGGAAATTCTGAATTTCTGGACAAGACTGTTAATCCAGAGATACTTGGTTCATAATTTCATTTTAAAAAGATGCAAAGCAGAAAAGCAATAAATTCCTCCGGGGCAATGGTTAATTAAGATACTGCACTCTCCCCTCAAGCATAGTCAGAATAATCGCTTTCAAAAATAAAGATGAACCATACTTTTACTTTAAGCTTGACTTTGTTAAATTCTTCAAAGTCACATGCTTGCTCAGACAGCCCAGAGCAGACACTAAGGTTGGCAACGTACTTTTTAAGGTCGTTTGAGCCAACACCTCAAGACCAAGGTCTCCAAAAAGAGAACATTTTTCCCAAGCTCTAAATGCCCCTTGCACACAGACCTGTGACTCCAGGTGATCCTCATGAGAACACAGCCACTCTCTCTTCATCCCAAACAGAATGGGGCAGCTCCATCCTTCACATAAATAACAACAGGGACGTGCTTAAGGCAAGAGAGAGTTTACTTTTCTCTATTACCACACACCGAGTCTGCGTGTGCCAAACTGTACTACACTCAAGTAGGAAGTCTAGTCCAAAGCATTTCCAAACAGTCAGCTTTCCCATGGAGTTGAATTACTCAGTAAAAAAAAAATAAATATATATATATCAGCCTAAAAATACCCTGAATATGCAAAGACAACTTGTAAAGCCCTGTGGTCAAGGCTGACAAGTGGATAAGGAGGAGGATGGGATGAGAGCAGCGTCCCAAGCAGGATGATGACCATCCCTACATGGTCACCCTGGTCCTGAGCAGGCATGTCACCCCTGCTGTGCATGAACTCAGGGCAGCTAGCAGCATTAGAAAACAAGCAAACAAAATTTCTCAGGAGATAAAAAGGGTGTGGGTAAGAAGTTGGAACTGGTGGGTTGTTAGGTTTGGAGGAACTGGAGAAGATAAAAAAAGAAGAGAATAGAACTTAGTGTGTCTTAGAGTTGCAAATGGAGAAGGAAAAAAAGCACATGTTCATTCTTCAAACACTGAAGTGAACTTTACAAACACAAAACTATGTATTTGTAAATGCTTATGTTTGTAGAATTTCACATTCCAAATGGGCACTATGAAATACCAACCTAATCTCCTCCAATCTACCTCACAGCTTTCACCTATTTGATTCTAACTGGCTCCCAGAGAAATTCATCATTTCTAACCATCTTCCCTTTCCTTCCTTTCTGCATCAGGAAATCCCAGCACTCAGAAATGAACATCCTGCAGTCTTGCTGAGACTTCTCCCTCTCACCTCACACACATCCCAGAGTGCAGGAATCCAGAAATGGAGAGACATTTCTCTGATTGTCCTAGTCTCCAAAAAGGAATTAATCTTATTTGTCACTGACAGAAAGGCTTCCAAATATCCCTGGGTAAACCAGGATTTATAAAAAAATAAATAGAAAGCAGCAGAGTGTTTAATATGTCACTGAAGTGAAAAATATAAATTTTTGAGTGTTTAATACATAAAGATGGAAGAAAAAAGGTTTTTAGCTCTCCTTCTTCATTCTTCTCCATGATTCTGCAGTTTATGAGAGCACAAAGAATGATTAGTTGAAAGTGAGTCACAGTTTTAGCTATGTAAGTAGATATAGAAAACTTATTTGTTAATATATAAAAACAATACACATGTCTATTGTTAGTAAAGTAAAAATAGATATAAAATGAAGCAGCTGTGTGGTTCAGGTCCATTTTGTGCCATCAGAGCCCAAAGTGTGCCAAGTTGTAGCGATTTGAACTTGTGTAGGAAGTCTAGAAAAACCTACCAAGTTTTGTGATAGCATCCTAATTATCACGAGAAACAAGATCCTGACGAGCTTTAGAGTTTTCTTCTGACCCAGAAAACTGAGATAAACTCAACTCCCCATGAGGGAATATCCTGAAAGAGCTTAGCTCAGAGAAGCTGAGAAATCCAAGAGTTAAAAAAAAAAAAAGCGCAGAAGAAGTGCAACAGAAAAAAACCCAAAAAAAGCCCCAGAGAGGAGCTCCCAGGGAAGATCCCCGGAGGAGAAGAGGAGGAAGAAGGCCAGCCCTGAGCCCTGTGGAGGAGAGTTACCTGGCAGGCAGTTGCACTCGAAGGTGAAGTCGCTGGTTTGGTGGCAGGTGCCCCCGTTCATGCAGGGGGACGGCGAGCAGGGCACGTAGACGCTCTCGCAGCGGTGCCCGGTGTAGCCCGGCCTGCACTGGCAGCGGTAGGAGCCGGGCAGGTTGACACAGGTGCCACCGTGCTGGCACAGCCCCGGCGTGCCACACTCGTTCACGTCTATCTCACACTTCTGACCCGTGTAGCCAGCCAGGCAGGAGCAGGAGAACTTATTCCCAGACACCGTGCAGGTACTTCCATTGGCACAAGGTTGAGATGTGCAGGCATCAATCCACTGGCATTCCTTTCCTTTAGGAAATCAAGGCAGATTAACGAAAGGTTATTTCTGTGGAAAACAGCTTTTCTTTTGTGCTGCCTCTAAATTTTTACTGAACCAAATCTTTACACTGCTACAGGAAAACTGATGTCTGCATTTTACTGTATTATATCTGAAATGGAAATAAATTTGTGATTACACTATGAAGTCATTAACCAGGTTGCAGCAAGTTATAGAATGTTGTGATTTATAAAATCAACCTGAAGTCGTATTACACACACCAACACTCTTCTTCTACCTCCCCTTCAAGAGTGAAAAGAATAAATTTTCATGCCACCCCTCAGGCATCAAAATATTGTTTTCCCATAGAAAGATTCTGCTGGCCAAATTTGCTGCCTGTTTTTGGTTGTTTTTTTTTTCTAGAAACTAGACTGAATTCAAAGTGCAACAGCCACTTCAGAGTAGTTTCTGCATTCAGTTTTCCCATGTGGACAACCCCACAATATCCAAATATTTTTCTGCTTACGTGTAAAGGGTAGGGAGTCTGATTCCCTATTCCCCTTTGCTTTTTTTGGTCATGAAGTCATTTAGACTTCCTCTCATTTCCTGTGTTGGAGCTAGAAAATCTGAGAGCGTATTACAACTGCCCCAGAACATTCCAGGGCGAAGCTGTTCCCAAAGGAGGGGGTCTGGAGGCACAAATGCAGAAGCCCACCTGTGAAACCGGGAAGGCAGACGCACTCATAGGTGTCCTGGCCGTGGGGGTGACAAGTGCCTCCGTTCAGGCAGGGCTGGGACACGTAGCACAGGTGAGATTCTGAGTACTGGCATTCCTCCCCTGTGAATCCTGGAGCACACCTGCACGTTGGTTTTCCTATCAGGGATGCAGCTTCACAGGTTCCCCCGTTCTTGCAGGTGTTGCTCTCGCAGGGGTTCCTGTACTGACAGTAGTCTCCAAGGAAACCTTCTCGACACCTGCAAGAGAGAAGAAATGAATTGCAGCGCTCCCACCCGAAGCCCTGCTGCTCTGGGAAGATTCCAGGAACGAGGTCCCATGGCCACCAAAAGTCTGGAAGTTTGCAATAATTGATGGTGACACTAACAAACCTAAGGGCTGACGTCACAGGTGTAACAGGGATTTCCTGTGGGACTGTCTCGAATGAGACCACTGGACTCTTGAGTGCAAATGGTGAAATCGCTCATTGCAAAAGCAACGCCACATTCAATCGGAGCCGTATCAAATGCAGAACCTCGCTTTTGCACTTCCCTTCAAAGCTTCAGCAGAGCCTGAGCGTTCAAGAACTGCTGAGTAACAACTCCTTGCACCTACTCCCATACTAACCCTTTGTTAGAGGAAAAGCGAGCAGTTTAATAAGGCATTGACACCAGGTATTATCCATCTTCCCAGAATATTTATACAAACGTCGTACAAACGCAGCGTCTGGGGAGCTGGAGATGTGCAGCAGCTCTGTCTCCACCAGGCTCCCGTGAGACAGGAATACTGCTCCATCCTCCTGCTGATAAGTGCATCTGGGACTGGGACTCGCTCAAGCCTGCACTCAAATAGCAACACAAGCGCTGCACTCAGGTCTCCCACGCCCCTGGCGAGCACCCGAACGACAAGGTCATTGTTCCTCTGTCTCCCACAGAAAAATGAGTACACACACACTATCTACAAGCAGGGCAGTATTTTATACAAAGATCTCCAACTGCAGAATAATTGCAGTTGCTTCTCTCTAACCTAAACTTATGTCAATACAGTCTGACTACGCTTGTCAGCTGTAATCCATCTTTTAACTGGCCTTTGTACTAGAGATTTACCATTTAATTTCCAGAGACAGAGGATCCAGGCAAGCAAGCCTGCAAAGCCCACCTCTGTGCCCCCCCCCAGTTCCATTTAATTCTAGCAGGTAGCAGAAAGCTGCAAGGCTACACACTGGATAAAATTAACACCTAACACACAGCACAGTCCCCCTTGCAGCTCTCTGCTGTAACCTGTGAGTAAACCAAGATTCAGCCCATGAGAACCACATATTTCATAGTAAAAAAAAAAAAAAAACCCAAAAAACCAAAACAAACCAGAGGTGAACATCAGGTATGTTTTGTTCCAGATGAGGAAAGGAAAAATTATTAAATCAGTGAGTTACTCTTATCTGAAGGAAGGAGATGCCAGCTGTAAGAAATACACAAAATCTGTAGTCCTCAAGCAGGAATGTAAAGGGATTGTTAGAAAGTGTTTTTTTCCTTATGCACTTTAAAGTAGTGGAGATTGGAGGGGGAAAAAAGCAAAACCACATAAACAACAACAACCACCACCATCAAAAAAAAAAAACCAAAAACAAACCAAACCCATCACAACAAAACACCACAAATAACCAGACAGGATCTGAAAATCAAAGAATGGACATGAAGCTGTGTTTTAAACAGAATCCTACAGGAATCTGCCTTTGTTCCTGTGCTATTCAACACATCTATTGATCATTAACAAAGGAAAACATCAATGCTGGTCAAATATGCAGGTAGAAGACAAGTTCTCAACAGAGAGAAGGTAGTCAGCACCCAAAATGTGCTTTAGCACTTCAAAATTATACACCTAGAAAAAAAAGACATCCCTCCCAAAACAGGGAACTGAGCTGGGAACAGCACATTTGCTCTGGGGATTCCTAACAGCCAGAGAAATGTGAATTCCTAGCGTGGCAGTCTGGCCAGGAATACTTTACACATACAAACAGCAAATATCAAGCAGGAATAAATGAGATTATGCTACACCTGATAAATGCTTGGTACAGCCACTGCATCAGTTCTGGTGTTTGCTCTTTAAGAGGGAAGAGCTCAAATGAATTCAAAGAAGTCAACAGTAATGATTAATAGAAAACTCTGGCCACAATGAAAAGCTCAGGTGGCTCAGTCTCTTTAGCAAAGGGAACAAGACATTTAATCAAAAGCTCCAAGTGTCCACTATAAAACACGGATTTAACAATAATTCCTGGCCTAGAAGATCCGGGATAACAGCACTGAGCATTTAAAACTTTAAGCTAGATGAATTCAAATTAGAAATAGGGTAGTATCTTTATTTTCAGACCCAGACTTATACACAGTCTCTCAGCAGCAGAGGGGAACAACGCATTTAAGGTTGTAGTGGAATTTCTCCATCACTCATGCTTGTTTAAAAGAACACCAGGATTGGCTGGTTGAGGGAGAGTATGCACGCTAGTGCAAACAAAGCTATTCAGAGAGGTTATTATCCAAGTTATGCAAGGGGTCATTACTAGATGACCACAACTGTTTTTTCTCATGTTAAAATTTATTAACTAGCTTTAGCCATATGTCTAAAGCAGGAAAGTCATATGTGCGTAATTGTAATTTACCGCTGTCCACACCCAAATTAGGCTCCTTTCACCATACCTTAATACTTTCAACTTCATACCCAAGAACAGAGATGAAAGGAGAGATTTTGCAGGGCAAGGCAGGATTAATAAAGTTACAGAAAGCAAATCCTGAGACAATAGCAATGCAGAGCAGCCTCTGCCTCCTGTGCCGTCCTCGGTTAAGAGCCCAGGGCCGTGGGTCAGTGTGAGCTGCAGCCACATCACACGAGAGGCACTCTTGGGCTATTCTGGGCCTGAGCCACACGAGCTGCAGCCTTCCTTGAGCATCCAAAATCTCTCCTTGCTCCAGGTTGGAAACCAGGCCAAACGCCAGCGGGCTCCAGCACGGCTTTGTAGGAGCTGGATCCCATGGAGGGCTGGCAGGCAGCAGAGACAGCTGTGCCAGGAGCTGGAGCACTGCTCCACTCCCACGGCATCCGAGCCTGCACACCGAGTGCAGCCTCTGCCCAGGGACCCTCTGGGCAGCCACAGCTAAACCACATTTCTGGGCTGTGTGAAGAGGAGCTGGACTTCAGTCCCAGAAGCCTCCCAAGGTTTGGTTTTGGGGATTTCTCCCAGTTTCAGCACACCAAGCTCCTCAGACAGCACAGCACATGCGCTTGCAGCTCTCTTTACCACGAAAGAAGGAGCAACAAACCAGAGCTTCACAGAACCCCACCTAGGCCATCCCATCAGAAATCCTCCAACACCACCCACTCCACCAGCAGCTACAAAACAAACCAAAACACACCTAGAATTTCAGTGCTACAGTGCTTTTTCATTGAAAGGCTGTAAAGCAAACCAGAAAGCCTAGAGGAACATTTCGTGTTTTGTCCACAAGTAAATAAACCCCCAAACCATGTCTTCTCTCCAACCCCCAACACTCAGGGACACTGGAAGGTGCATTTAACAGTTGCCCCCAGCCAAGTGGGAGAAGGGAGCCTAAACACTGATTAAGAGTATTGCTGGTATGAGTGAAGAGGAAAGCTGAGATATGTGCTCTGAGACAACCATCACCCACAAACAGCCCAGCATTTCGTACACAAATGTTCTGGTACAAAGTTGAAGAGCACTCCAAGACCAGGCTTGTCCTGGTATCTTCTATCAGAAAAACATGAGGGAGGGCTCCCAAAAGGGAACAGCAAAACCTCTTTCAACTTCAGCTCTTTTTATTTGGAAGAAGGAACATGCCTGCCTGTGGAGAGATGGTAGGTCAGGTACCCATGGCCCTCGTACCCAACATTTTCTTCTCCTCCTGGAGAAGTGCTTGGTCACAGAGCTATGCAATTTTGCCCTCCAGCAATTCAGTGCAATCCTTTTTCAATGTTAAAGAATAAAAAACCCTACGGTCCAGATCTTCAGCCATGTCTCCCACCATCAACATCTCTAGGCACAAATACTAGTAATTTAGTTCTAAATGTTGGTGTAGACAAAACTGCAAATATTTGCTCCTGATTCATGTTGGGCACCACATTGTTCTTCTAAAAACAGAGGCAAACACTGGAAACATGCAGTCTTAGCCCAGACTTTTTTAAAGGATATGATTAAACTCAACAGCAGCTCCAGCTTCCCACCACCCCTGCTCTGCTCTCATCCCAACCTACTCTTTCAAGTTTTCTTTAGGAGAGGAAAAAAAAACCCACTTGTCTACAGAGCAGCTTAAAATTGTAGCAGCTTGTGTCAGCTCCAAATGACATGCTCAGAACAGGAAACCAAATCTTTTCCAAATAAAAGCCACTGTATCTCCTCAGTTTTCCATCTAACACTCAGAAAAAGAAACAGGAAGATGGAGTTTGTTCTGGCACTTTCTGGAAGCACATGAGGTCTCTTAACCTACTTCAACAGGAATTTAATCTTTTAAGAACAAATTTCACATACAACTTAATTCAAATCATGATTTCTGAAAGCTAGAGAGTTTGAAATGGGAAAATGTCCTGTGGGCTGCATCAGCTATGCAGCTGCTTCTAATTAAAGCTTCTCCTTTACTCTCTCTGGGCTACTTTCCAGCACAAATACTTTAGAGCTCAGCCTTTTTTTTTTTTTTTTTCCCCCCTCCTCCTTTTCAGCTCCAGCCTGCATTTGCCTTAGCTCAGGCTCTCATGGAGCTAAACAAGAGAAGTAGGAACAAAACGAAGGTATTTATCCAAATTTGAAGTATCCACAAATGCAGAGAGCTGCATTCACTCTAACAACCTAATGCTGCAAATCCAAGTGGAAGACTCACAAAAGCTGTGCTTTTGGCTCTTCTGCCACAGAACTACATCAAAGCTACCTTCCAAAACTTAGCTCTCTCCTGCTTTCAATAGACTTCTGGAAAAATATGTCTGGTCTGTCGGAAAAACTTCCTCATGTGCTGTACTATATTTGCCTGGGCACAGTCATAAGACAGTCTCTTCAAATGCACCTTATAGACAATTTTAACCAGACTTCCAGATGTTTGATGTTCATGGGAGTTTTCTACTCGGGCCCATGATATCATCTGGAGATGCACAGAAGAAAGCAGATGGTTTTAATTCAAAAAGAGAAGGGAAGAATTTCCTCGTAGTCCTGCTTCTCCCCCCCTCCAGCCCAACACTCCCTCCACTTTGATTGGAAGATGCTTCACCGAAGAGGGAAAAAAATTCTGTCTGATGACTAAACGTGAGAAGGGTCCCAGCTATTTCGTTACAGATTTTAACCAGACTTCCCTCTGGCTCCTGGGTTCTGACTCCCACACCTACACCTCCTCTCAGGAGGGAGAACAGGATTCTCTGGTTAGCTTTACAAACGCTCCTTCCCATGTCTCAAGGCGCCCATTTATGCGTCATACTTTGAATGCAAACGATGGGATGGGACGGCCCTCCCTGCCCTGCCTTTAAAGCAGCACACAGCTATTGTTCCCAGCCCACAGAAAGTGCCTCTGCAGAGCTGCTCCACAGTCTGAGCAGACGAGGTTTAGTTTGGCTTTTTTTGCCCGTCACAAAAGAGGAGCTCTCGGTGTGTGCAGGTAACTCACAATAAATAATCACCACTGAAAATCACTACTCTGTTCCCAGAATCCAAGCTAGCAGTGAGTGTACTCTCCCCTTTTTCCTCTGCTCTGGTCTCAAGGGTCTCCTTTAACTTCTGAAAGGAGACAGAAGGAAACAGAAAAGGGCAGACCATTCTCAGAAAGGGACAACCTTTCAACTTCTGCATTTAGCCTCTTCTGGAAAACTCTCAGACCTCATCCTGCTACAAGGTCTCCTATGGGTATTCCCCATTCACTACCCTAGGAGTGATTAGTCTCTCGAGACAGATCCTAAGCAGATATCAGCTGCAGTCTCAGCAGCAGTTCTGCAGTCTTGGATCTTGCCTTCAGCCCCAGAAGTCCTCTTAAATCCAAGTAAAAATTCATTTATGAAGACCCATCTTGAAGGAAAGGTAGGTGAAAAGCCTTGCAAGGGAGTTGAAATTACTGACAGCTAGAGTTAGGATAGAAGCCCCTTACTGCCCTGCCATTGCTGCTTTGAGTTCAGCATTTTTTAGAGGCTGCCAGTCCGCACATTAGACTGTTTTGTGCTATGTGAAAGGTGCACAAACTTCAGCACACGGCGAGAGGAGCCCTGCTCACTGGAGAGACAGAGGCACACAAAGCGGTACAAACCCTGGAGCTCGGGGCATGAAAGCCTGCGCTGAAGGAGGCTGAATTTTTGGCTCTCCAGCCTCCCCATTTGACTAAGCACAGCTCTGAGGTTTTTTTACACCATCAGGAGCAGCAGAAGACCTCAGTGTTAAAGCAGTGCTTGGTTTCACAGAGGCACAGCTATCCCTTCTGGATACACAAATCACAACACTCCTAAAGACAAAAATTCAGTCGGCCAAGCCTGCCAAGCACAAGAAATGGCAAGGACCAGTTTCCTCCCTAAACCTTGCAGCACCCCCTGTGTCAACACCCTTCCCACTTCTGCTTCTCTCCCTGCCACTGGGGTGGGAAGTTGGGAGAGGCCACAGCTGTGGCACAGGGGAAATCACTTAAGAGCCTCTGCTCTAGGGCCCTGCCCCATCCCAAGCAGAGGCACTGCCCAATCCAGCATCCCCCTGCAGCAGAGCAGATCCCTGTGCTCAGAAAGCAGCAGGCAGCGATGCCAAAATCCCTGCTCTGCTTGTCCTTGACACAGCTCCCTGCTCCCAGCCTGCTGCAACTGCAGGAGCACTGCAAAGTTCACAGCACTGCCCCAAGGACTCTTCCCACTGCTGCTTCCCACTCATCCAGCAGCAGGGAGACGAGAAATTGCTTTGCTGTGATGGTCACAATCAGCACTAAGCGACTGCTTCTCTTTAGGCATGAGAGGATACAAGAAGGCTCCCTCATGTTTGACACCTCAATGTGTAAAAGGCTGCCTGGAGATGCTTGGAGGGAAAAAAAAAACCCCACCCATCACAGCAGCAAAACACCCATCACAAGTGCAAAGCAAAGCCAAACTCCAAACTGAACCTGCCTTTTGTCAAAGCAGGACCAAGAAAAGTTTGGAAGGACGGGTCCCCTTCAGTGCTGCTGCAGACTGACATATTCTGTGGAGTAAGGCCTTCAACCTCACCATGAGAGCCGCTGAATGAGTGTAGAAAAGAGCTCTCACACACACAAAAAAAAAAAACGGCTTTGGAAGATGCAAACACAGGAATGTGTAATTTTCTAAATATAAAATCAAGGTCAGAGGAGGTCAGTAACTTTATCGAGCAGTGGCACAGGATGACAGCCGTGGGCCAGCAGCGTCACCAGGGGAACAGAGCTACTTAAAGGGCGCTCGCAAGAGCAATCTGATAAAGCTCCAACCCCGGCTTCCTTACAAGGGTCACAACCACTGTTCCCATAACAGATGCCAGATACACCACCAAAACAGTTTCCCAGCAGAAAATCAGCTTTCTCTTTTAATGCAGTAGATGCCACAGGATTTCCAGACGAAGGAAAGTGCTTCAGCAATACGCTGCCATCCGCTGCCGGGCCAAATATCCCGGCTAGGTGTTTTGTTATCGGTGCTTACTCATATCTTATCACATTTGGTTATTGCTGAGGCAGGTTCTCCCTCAGCAGTTCACCTAGGAGACAGCAAGACTGACTGGATGGCCTGACCACACACTACAGCAAACAGCTCAGCCAAGAGGAGGTACAGAAGGAGGAAGAGAGCCTGTTATAACAACTTATTGCCCAGCAGAGGAAGTACTGCAGATAACTTGAAGAAAGTGGAAGGGGTGGAGATGCTGCTAATCATTGAGAGATCCTGCAGACTTACAAGCCACTTGCTTTAGTAATGAATTCAATTTCCTGAGCAAAACATTTCTGCTTTCACAACCATCAAAAAATTCAGAAAGTCATTTAGGTTACTAAACCTGAGAGAAAGTTCCCCTATTCAGAGTTCCTCATAGTGCAGGAAAGGAAAAAAAAAATGTTAAAACCAAAACAGGATGCTAACAATCAGCTTGTTAAAGGTAGAAACTTTACAACTGAGGTGGGTTTTGCTACTTTTTTCCTTCCTTTCTGCAAAGTAAGTATGCTTGAGCCAGGACTAAAAGACACTTACTAATCTCTGTATACAGCTCTTTGTTAGCCTTTCCAATTAATACAGCACCTGCAAAGGAACTGAGCTGTTTCTTGAAGGAGGGGTTGGTTTAAAACCTGCAAGAACACTTTGCACAACAAGGAGGAAGGCAACATTATTATTATTATTATAAATGTGTGCTAAAAAAATGTAACAGTGGTCAAAGCTGCCATTGTGATGTGGGAAATGCGTCAAGATCTGGACTGCACTACAAACAGTGCAGAAGTTAATCAGATGAACCAACTCAGGCTGTAAAAATCAATTGTTAAGGCATGGAACATGCAAGTTGGAGAGAATGTCCTGAGGAAGGTAAAAGCAGCACCAACACCAGGACCAGTCTTGTTCATTACCTTTGTTGTGATCTCCATACTTTGACTCCAGACTAACATGCTTAAGTACACATCAGAAAAGTCTACAAAAGACACTTATTTCTTGTTGCAGTCTCAAAATACAAGTGAAAAGCAGGAAAAGCTCCTGCTCTCTTTTCAGAGATGCAGCTCCTTTAAGCTGACATCAATCTAAAAGTGTGGAAAGGAAAAGAATAGAAAGCAGCAAGAGTTAGAAATTTTAAAAGACACAAGGAATAACAAGTTACATATTTGCTTTTCTGTGGCCTTTCTGCACATCAGGTATTGATTTGGACCTGAGGAGAACCTCAAATTAGATTATTATTTCCCCTTTGTGTGCCACAGGTGCAATTTAAGTACATTGAGCTCTGTGTACCACATTAATAGAGAACTAAAGGTTGTGGTTAGGGAAGTTGCAAGTATGGAGAAGTGTGAGGAGCAGAGCTCTGTGTTAGCCAAGCTAAATCAACAGGAGAAAATTCACTAATATTTAAAGAATTCTGGCACTAAGATAATGTCTTAGCATGCTAGAAAATGACACAACTTGAACTGATGAAGTAAACAACCTTAAGAAAATAATCTGGTTACTGCAGACGTAGTAAATTAACCCAGCCAAACAAAGAGGATACATCTTCTGGCAAAATATCACTTCATTAAAAGAAAATAAAATCTAAGTACTGCAGCTGGAAAGGTGAACTGCATTTAAATAGATGTGATATTCTCCAGATAAAACACACCCTGCAAAGCCCCTGCTGATGAGCTTCCCATGCAGCAACAAAGTGAAGATGGGTGCCAACACCTACCAAAATCAATTTATATGATTCAAACAAATGTGGATGTTTGGTTGTGGGGGGTTGTTGGTGTGTTTTTAGCATCTCACAGGTATTACTTGCTCTCAAGTAGCAGAAGGGAATTGGCTCACTTCAGAGTGCAGAACAGTTCTGAAAAACCTCAAAAATATTTAAATTGAGGCTGGAGCTCTACAAAGCAAGGTGAGCTAGGAGATGGGGAGCAAGTTTCAACTTAGCTTGTGGGTCTGGAAACAAGGTTCAGAGTTTACCTCTGTGATGGGTTTGGCCTCAGTTCCCAACCTAGTGCAAAGAAATCCAACTGACAAGACCCAAACCCAAATACTGAACAAGAACCCCAAATTTTTACAATACAGAAAGCTAGCACACATGAACTAATGCATCATAAAAAAACACCAACTGTGCTCAAACTGTTAGGCTGAAAGAGCCCAGTAAGGAAATCTTAAAAATTTGTATTTCCTTTCTGGTCCTGAAGGAAAGAAAATGGTGAATTAAATTGATTAGAAATGAAACCAACTTACTTGCAATATCCTGTACCATTTTGATACGGAATGCACTTTCCCTCATTAACACATGGCTTGGAGTCATCCATACACTGCAGAGCTGAAAGGAAAGAAAAGAAAACAACCATCAAACCCCTAGCCACAATACATGTCAGGTCAAAGCTTCGTTAGCGCATTCGGGGGAATGAAAATTTTATAGGACTGGAACAAAAACAAAGGCATTATCACATAGTTTAATTTCATCTCTAGCAGCATCAAAAGAGCCAGACTGAAAGAGGAATCAAATACAGATTTGTTCATCAGGCAACCAAACCTTAATAGAATTTCTTTAAGGTAGGTTTTCAAAGCAAAGTGTGCAGTAAATTCAGCAAGCTCCAAAGACATTCATGTCAGCACCTGAGTACTTTGGGTTAAGTGTCCTCAGTTACTACTTTCTGATCAAAATTCTGGACTGAAATACAAAGCAGCTAGTCCTAAGCCTTCTTAAGAGAATATTTTGCCTCAAATCCTTTCCTTCTTTTTGACTATCTTTAGGGGTACCCAGCACTGAAAGAGGAGCATCTGTCCCTTGTGAATGTCACCAGCAATCCAGAATTTGCTGCAACATGTACTGCTGTGGCCTCTGATTTCAGACAGGATCGTGTTTGCAAGTGGAAAACACCAGAGCTGTTAACAACTTTCAGCAGGGAATTTGGTATTTCTAAGGAGATGCTCTGTAACTCAAACTTGACGTTTTCACCAGTGTGTTTTCAAAAAGGAATTAAGTATGACACAGCTCAGGGCCAGTCAGGTTTTATCCAAGTCCACTGGAAGCCCCAGTGAGGTCTGTCCTGATGGAACCTCCAGCTCTGGAAAGTGCTTTTCCCTTCACAGGGACCTGAAGCAGCACTCGGTCCCTGGCTGCTTCCAAAGTGACCAGAAGTGTGAGAACTATGGAAACTCTGCAGGAGCAGAGGGAGCTTTGGAACCACAAAAACAGAGCCATTCCACAGCCTGCCATTTGAGTAGCACCAAACTACCTGGTAAAGCTCTCAGAACCAGATCACCTGGCTCCTGTCCTGAACTTCTCCACAGACCAAGAAGTCAGGAGCTCTTCCCAGCCTCCAATTCTGTCTCCTGGCCCCAAACTCGCACACTTCCACGCCTTTAGGGACCCCCTTTCCACAGCCTTATTGCATTTGGAAAAGCCTTTAATGAAAGGCACCAATAATATCCAACCACCTAAACTGTCCCATTGTCAGCCAGCTGTTGTAGGGTTGACTGCCCCTCATTTTATTTTTTTTAAGGATGGTTTTCCTTTCCTCAAGTGGCACTAAATTTTCAATACAAACTCAGCAAGGGGCATCAGGGAAAGCTGGTCCAAACCACCACTGATATGCTGGTGACTGAGGAATGGGACTCAAGAGTTAACACAGCAGTCCCACTAAGATCTCCCTGCAACCCAACCAAATTCAGTCCAGCAACTGGACAGCTTGGAACAGACTCTGGTTCTGCTGTCCAGGGCTTGAAGTGTTATTTCTCAATAACCCTGGAGCACACAAACAGGTCACACGCACTACGAGGCACTATAGGAACGCTTCACGCTTGCAATCCCTACGGAGAACACAGTTAAATTAAACCCAGCTCCCCGGGAAAGTTATCAGTGTTTCCCACAACACAAGTATGCTTGTTGCTGTTAACTGCTGATTTCTGAAAAAGGGGCACTTGCATGGCGCTGCTTCTGCAGAGCTCTCAGGAAATGAACAAAATTCCACTGGGAGCCCCTTTCAGATAACCCCTGAGGTCAGGGTTACCCAGCGACAGAAATATGAAGGCGGATTTTGCACGGCATTCCCCCCCACAGCGGGCACCTGTCTGGCCATTTCTATCCCATTTAACCGCAACGTCCACACGGCCTCGGCTCCAAACTTCATCTGCTGCTGTCTAACACCACAGCAGCTTGTTTTCACGGCAAAGATTGGCTCTAGTTAGCGGGGCTGGGTTACACCGTGTCCGAGACAAGCTGCTCTGGGTCCAAGGGAAATCCCAAAAGGGATTCTGACGGCTCCCACCACCCAGGGACACGGAGGAGGGTTAAAGCCATCCGTGCCACCTTTCTGAGAGCCAGGAGGGGAACCAACCTCGCTTGTTCCCACCTCACCACCTGGAATTTCCATTCTTTTCACACCCTTCGAGCCAGTGAAGCAAATACTCAGAGGATTACTTCTTTTGTGCTCGTGCTTTCAAACACGAATTTTGTAATCCAATCGAGTACCCGCGTCCCCGGAGAGAACTGAGCAGTTGATTTTGTAACCCACATAGTAAAAGCTTAACCAGCACTTGGCCAAAAACACCTTCCAGCACAGCCACACGGAGGGGAACCAGAGGCTGATGGCTCACGGTAAGGATCCCAACCAAATATTCCAATTCGGTTTGCTAAGCCAAATACGGACACAGCAGAGAGGCATTAGCAAAGTAATGATTAATTTTCCTTTTTGGAAATAAATTTTGGACAAATTATTCCCACCTTGAACTGCTGTTTAGCAGGTCATTAAACTACTACCAGCCTTTAGAGTTCTTTCACCGAGACAACGGGACAATAAACTTTTAAACATATATTTTGTCTGTACTATTTCGGATGTGAAAGAAGCTAAGAAAACAAATGCAAAATTGATTTGTACTTTTTTAGCTTTAGACTGAATAGAAATACTTTGAAATGCAAGTAAAGCTGAAGTGAATGTAAATGTAGCCATACTCTATATTAAAATAAGTATTAAAGAGTCATTTGATTTCTCTCGGAAAAAAAAAAAAGAAATCACAAGGGAAATAGAAGACTACGGTTCTCACAGTAAAATTAGCATTTCTGTGCACAAAGCACTGCCTTCCTGTATTTCACTACATCTTTCATAAAAATTTCACAACACATGCAAAACCAAGGCATTTCAACACGAATCACTTCAAAAGCTACTTCTCTGCTCCTCTACCACGTTGTGCTCGAGAGTTAAAAGTGCCAGAAATTACCTTCTACCTCAGCCAGCGTAAAAAGTTTGTTTTGCTGCATGCAGTGTGTGAACTGGAAATGCTCTGGGGAGTGTGCAGCATGAGAGAAGGCAGCCTTGCCTGGAGAAGATAAAGTCACTTTTCTAGAAGCCATTTATAGACAGCATCAGCACATTGTCAAGGCTCTGACAGCTGCTTTTGACAGTTTTCTTCTGTGTTTAACACAAACAGAAATGGTGAATTGTTGGCTGGTTTTCTGGGCTTGGCAAAACCACCGAGACTGCCAGAAGGTGGGTTAGCCTCAGGAATTTTAGGTGTGTTACAGGGATATTGGGAAGACAGCACCTGGTTTTCTAAAGATTGTTTCTCATGGAGAGGGCAGGCCATTCCAGAACAGGGTACCAAATTTCCAGCAGCCACTGCAGCCAAGGTTGAAGGACTTCTCAGAAAGGCTCCTTTCCTTCTCAGAAAAGGGCAAGAAGAGCATTTCCAGTGATGCTACCCAGCCTGGAGTCCACATCAACCCTCACACATGCCTGCACTGAGATGCAAAATCTAACCTGACATTTAACATCCTACACCAAGACTATTTCCCAAGGCCAGAGGGAAAACCAGACAACCACGGCTGTAAAAGGAGCACAAGATACACTCTAGGGAGCGCTGAGATTTTCGACATCCAAATCCAAAGCTCACAACTGGGGCACAATTATGCCTAGATTTAGTTTTTCTTTTTGGCTAAAGAGACTGTTAAAATCTAGGGGGAAAAGAAAAGTTTTGTTTCTGCCTCACTGTTCTTTACGATGCCAAGATGATCTGGATGCTGTGATTTGGTTTCCACACTTCATTTGCCTACTATGAATTCAAATATTTTCTGGGCTATAAAATTCAGTGAAATAGTGTAGGATTAAGATCAGAAGCTGTGTCAAAGTTCAGGTTTTAGGAGAACTTTGCTAGAGGGAAATCAAGCCATAGCCAGAGCAAGTCTGAGAGTCTGTAACTACCCAAAGGAAAGTAATGCCAATAAGCAATGCCCACAAGTTCAGAAAAAGTCAAGCAGAAATAGACATGAAAAATACCAAAACAATTAATGCTGTGAGAAAGAGGCACTCTAAAGTCGATTTCCTGTAGCTTTGTTGGTTATCCTGCATCTCAGAAGGTGCAGGCTCTGACCAGAGGTTTTATTTTAAACAAAGGGAGAGCAATGTCCTGGCAGAGAACACAGCTTTCTCCTTGGGAGGACACTGCATGTGCCTCTCTCCTCTTTCTGTCCACAAATGTTTCATTATGTTCATAGAAACTCAGTATCAGAACCAAGACTTTTGTCCTACGTGGTTGTATCTTGCCCATAGGTTCAAAAGCTTTCTTGTGGGAGTGGGTGGAAAACAACCTACTTGAATGCAGAAAAAAAAAGTCAAGCTAAAAACACATTTAAAAGATTAGACAGAAAATAAGGACAAAACAGGTCTCTATAACCTTTATGCACTCAGTGAATTTTCTGTCTCGATTGAGATTCATGAGAAACAGCCTGTCAGTTCAACTGTGCTACCCATTATGTATGAAGGGAGAGGAGGAAAAAGGATTTGAAGCCCTCGAACAACAGCAACACAAGACGCATGGAAAATCCCATGCTCTGGGTTGCTTGTCAGAGGTGGATCAGCCCTGAAGAGAACAGCCATCAGTATGGCCAGAAACACCAGTTACACAACAAATCAAGGGGGTCTCAAATTCCAAGGGAGAGAAAGACAGCTGCTGATTCCCCTTCAGGAAAAACAGGGCGTGAAAAAAGCAGTTAATGCTGAAACATGAGGTACGTTCTGCAGGAAGGTCCTCCGTGTGCAGAAAGGGGAAAAATGCTTCCCCAGCAGCTGCTGGAAGAACTGGAAGGAGAAAGCAGCACTGCACATGTGGAGAGAATAGCCAAAGATAACCAAATTTTGGAGGAAAACCACAAAGGACTAATTACGCTGTCCACTAACCTCAAGAGATTACAGGTCCGGTGAGATTGTATAGCAGGGAAGAAACCACTGGTAAATACCAGCTAGCTGAAAATAGGAAAATAGCTTTTTATTTTATTTTATTTTCATGAAGAACACATCATCCTATGGCAGGCATGTGGAGGGGGAAGGAAGCAAAAAATCCTT